ACTTTAGTTTTCTATTTGTAAGAGTAGTCATTGTTCTACCTTTAGGTTAATGGTAGATTTTCTTCAGGTGACAAAGTCCCCTGAAAGAATTAATGATGTTTATGACCCTTTGGAACAGGTTGCCATTTTCTCCACTGGTCTGTCTCAGCTGGCTTTCTCTGGCTTACGCTGGGAATCGTCTTGCTGTGAGTCAAAAAGGGAATGTGCACCAGGGCTGGAAACTGAATAGGGCAAGAACATTTTTTAACTGGCTTTGCTAGTAGAGGTGTTCCAACATGAAACTATCCTTTGAGAGGACTGCTTCTCCTTCTTCCCAATGGTTGAAACACCAAAATTTTGTCCGCAATCTGTGTGAATAGGTTTATTTTGAAGGCATAAGTAATATATGTGACTTGTTTGACTATTTGTATGGGGGAAACCTACTCAACAAGTAGCTGTAAATTGTTTTAGTTTTGCATAGAAACTATTGTGTATAAACTCTTCCGCAACCAATTGGGTGCTGGAACAAATTGGACGCATGAAATAACAGCTGGGCTAGAATGGGGTATGGAAATTTAAAAACTGAAGAGTTTTGAACAGATTTCCCACTTAGGTGACTCAGTGTCCACAGCGACTTTTCCTCGCTTTTTTTCACTTTGTTCCTGAATGTCTCCAGAGTTCTTTCCAGCGTGTGTCACGCACCACATGCTTTATTCACATTCCAGGTATCCCACACTTGTTTTCACAGAGTCAAAGACTAAGGGTTTTTTTCCTTCTCTCTTTCTCCCCCTTTCCTCAAACCTTAGTCTATTTATAAATTGCACAACTTGGCATGGGAGCACTGTGACCAACGTGCAAGCATAGAGTTTAATAATCAGTTATTCTGTTTGATGTTGGTTTCGCAACCAGACAGGCTGAAGTGCACTGCAGATGTGAAGCAGAGGGAACAGAGTGAAGCTTTTCACTGTGGCCTTCTCAACACTTCTAATTATGGGAGGGAATACACTTTCTACAAGTTGTTGTTGCTGTTGTAGTTTCTTAATGCTGTTTCTGATAATCTGTTGGAAGTGCAACTCTTGTTCAGCTTCTGAAGGATTTATGGATGGTTTGGCCAAATCTTTCCTTGAAGATATGATTCTTACTCAAGAGAACTCAGTGCTTGGTAGATGGCCATTTTACCAGTCTTTAGAAAGTCTTCCAAAGTGATCATCTTATGCTCTGTAAATACAGAGCAAAACCCTTGGCTACTGTTTGTGATAGGATCAGTATGTTCATTATCAAAGTTATTTGCCCCTTGCTATGAGTGAGAACCACTGCCCCCATGGCA